TTTGATTTTTTTTTTTTTAGAAATTTTTTTTTTTAATTAATATTATTGTCTTGGCTACTAAATTACTGTCTCAGGCAGTAATATTACTGTTTGAGACAGTAATATTATGAATATTATTTTCCCGAACAATAATATTATTAATATTATTGTCTAAGACAGTGAAATTACTGTTGGAGACAGTAATTTAGCAGCCAATGCAGTAATATTAATTAAAATAATTTTTTTTAAGAAAAAAAATTCAAAAAAAAAAATCAATTAACAGTTAAATTCCTAAAAAACAATTTCCGGTAAAGAAAAGTTTTCAAAAAAAAAAAAAGTCAACGCCAAAATGTGGCCGGAAAAAACAAATTCAGAAAAAAAATTGAATTTTTTTTTGGGGTTAATGGAATATATTTGTTTAAATCCGGGGTCAATGTGTAATATTAAGGAAGTTAGAGCATAATGGATGAAATTGATAAGAATTATACTATGGAGGGTATTTAGGACTAAAAACATGGAGATAGGTTTAATTGAGAGGCTGTTTTTTTTGGACCAATGTGCATTTAAATCCCATGTGATGGGCCTTTTTGCCATTCGGCCTATAAAGATAACAATCTTAGGGCTCGTTCGGTTACCGCTATAAGATTCTACTGACTAAATAGTAGGGGCTAATAACACGTCCGGTTGGTAAGATTCACATTTTTTCAAACCCGGTACTAAAATCAAAGTCCGCTATTAAATGCTACTATTTCATTAAATTAGTAGCACCCCTAGCCGCAGCCTTAATTTAATAGGGGGTGACTAAAAAGGAAAAAATACAATTTTATCCTTAAATTCATATTTTATTATTGTAAACTAAGTGGTTTTATAGACAATTCATATATAATAACTGATTTTAACAAATTTAATAGAAAATCTAAACTAAAAAACCGAACATGCTACTAACTAAATAATTAATTAGTCAGTAGGGAGTTAATCCAATATCATGTAATCCAATCTAATCCAATATAGGTAACCGAACGAGCCCTTAAATTAAAATAATTTTAGTTAAGAGACTTTGAAATAATTTTAAAGTTACCTGTATGGTCAATATTTGTACGTGAGACGTACGCTACTGCCGGCGCAAGCTAGCAGTTCAATCGACCACTAGCTAATAACCTTGCTCGGAAGCAGTGTAATCATTCGGATGCTCAAAGTCCACTCTTGCTAGTAGGAATTTAGCATCGACGCATGAATTCGATTTCTATCTGTGCAGCCATGCTGGGATCCAGGTACAATCTTGTAGCACTTCAAATAATTCGTTGAAAATTTCAGCTTGTATTATACATATATATCTCGATCTATACTTTGTTCGAATTATAATACATTATTTTTTTGATAATTCTGGTCTTGATAGGGAACTAGTCGTACAGCACATTACCATGTGTTGTACGATGAAAATCGGTTCAGTGCAGATGCACTGCAAATTCTCACCAACAGCTTGTGTTACACGTAAGTATTCGTTCGTTATAAATGTTGAATACAATCATACTTTATTTTTTAAATACTTCAAATAAATTGACTTCAATTTTTTCGTACTTTACCCCTCAGATATGCAAGGTGCACTCGCTCAGTTTCCATAGGTAAGATATACAGCCTTCAATCTGATCATAATCTTTCAAATCGTTTTGTTCTACTCGGTTACTCTTTTTTATATTAACTTGAAATTGGTCGTCTGTTGTGCAGTCCCACCAGCTTACTACGCACATCTTGCTGCATTCCGAGCCCGTTACTACATTGAAGCGGGAGAATTCTCCGACAGTGGATCTGCTGCAGCGGGCCCCGGTGGAGCGATGAGGGAGAGGGTTGGAGAGGTTCGGGCTCTGCCTGCAATTATGGACAATGTTAAGGATGTCATGTTCTACTGCTGATTTTGGTTGACTTAAAAAACTTAACTACAGGACTACATCTTTTTGTCTAGATTCACATGTTTTGCTGATTTTCGATTAATTTAGAAAAAAAACTACATCTTTTTGTCTATGAACATATGTTTTTGTAGATTTCTCTTTTTCGGTGCCAAAATATGCTATGATACCTAAGGTTGTTTTGTCGTCGTAGGTTGTTTTTTCGGTGCCGTTTGGTTAATGATTCGCTGGCAATGTTATTTAGAATCTTTGAACTTTGGGATTAAAGGAATTTGATCGATTTTCTTTTTGTTGAACATGTTCTATGTGTGGTTGATTTTTATTTTTTTGTCTATTTTTATTTTATGATGACAGTTACATATTGCTGTATATACATATTGCTGTATATATTAGTTTATTGTAATTTACGTAATATGCTAATCATGTCAGAAAATTATTGAAAAGAACTGCTGTTATATATATAAACTTGTTTGCACCAAGATGGCACAAACAGGACTTGAAAAACAATTTTGTTAACATTCTGAAAGCACAGCCAAGCAGCATATAATATAAATTCGATGGTCTTAGATTAAATTAAATATCTAGACAACAACAAAATTAACCGAATCTTGTAGTATTGGTTGAAATTCTTTCCGTATACGAGCTCTCATCCTTTCTCGGTTTGTGTAGCTTTTGTCGGGGCTAATTTCCACGATAAGCTCTTCAAGTGCCGTAGCTTTTTCAACAACGAGCACCCCGAGTTCCACTTCGTTCGGAGACGCTTTGATTCCCGACAGTTTCACCGTTTTCGGATGATCATCATTTGAGGTCTTGTTCACCACCTTCATATGATAATACCTATCGTGAAAGTTTGTTGCCGTAAACTGCAAAATTATAACAATATATTAATATACATATATGAATATAATCGATTCCAGTTGATCAATTTTTGGATAATATATAAAATATTAGGATATATAAAATACCTTAATCTCGAGTCTCTGCAAGCACGGACACGCGTCGATGAAACGAACGAGTTCGTGGGAGTCAATAGTATTCCTGAACATAAGACATTCCAACTCAACATGTTTAACCTTCGCCAATTGCTCACTAATTATATTGCCG